CAAGGTGTGGTGTCAGGAGGAAAGGGGGAACTCAGGCTTGCCCACTACTCTAGGGCCTGGTCTTGGGATCCTCTAGCAGCAGCTTTGTCCTGCCCTCCTGTACTCCCCCTCTACTGCCTCCTGTTCTCTGGGCCACTTCATCTGTGACCTCCTGGCCCCTGTATCAAGGCCTGCAGCCTGGCAAGCCTCCTACTCCTCTGAGCCTGCCCAGAATTGTTCCCTCTTAGTTGCATGCTCTTGGGAACCAGTCCTGCACCCTCCCAGGTCAGGACACAACTGAGCAGCTCTTTATAACCAGGGCTGCCCCCCAAAGCCCCTGTCTCATTAACACCCTCTAAGCCCCTTTCTGGTTGGCCCGTGCTCTGCGCAGGCTCCCTCCAGCCTACTTTAACCTCTTCTGGCCAGAGTCCCCACTACTCTACCTCAAAAATGGCCCCTCAGGAGACCAATCTGGCAGCACCTTGATGCGAGGGGGATTCAGACATCTGAGGTGTGGGTCCGGATTAGGGCTGGCTGGAAAGCAAGAATTCAGTTTCCTGAACAGTGCTTCAGGTGTTGATGAAACAAAAAACAGGACTGTGTAGCACTTTAAGGACTAACAAGTTGGTCTTTAAAGCGCTACACAGTCCTGTTTTTTGTTTCATCAACACCTGAAGCACTGTTCAGGAAACTGAATTCTTGCTTTCCAGCCAGCCCTAATCCGGACCCACACCTCAGATGTCTGAATCCCCCTCGCATCAAGGTGCTGCCAGATTGGTCTCCTGAGGGGCCATTTTTGAGGTAGAGTAGTGGGGACTCTGGCCAGAAGAGGTTAAAGTAGGCTGGAGGGAGCCTGCGCAGAGCACGGGCCAACCAGAAAGGGGCTTAGAGGGTGTTAATGAGACAGGGGCTTTGGGGGGCAGCCCTGGTTATAAAGAGCTGCTCAGTTGTGTCCTGACCTGGGAGGGTGCAGGACTGGTTCCCAAGAGCATGCAACTAAGAGGGAACAATTCTGGGCAGGCTCAGAGGAGTAGGAGGCTTGCCAGGCTGCAGGCCTTGATACAGGGGCCAGGAGGTCACAGATGAAGTGGCCCAGAGAACAGGAGGCAGTAGAGGGGGAGTACAGGAGGGCAGGACAAAGCTGCTGCTAGAGGATCCCAAGACCAGGCCCTAGAGTAGTGGGCAAGCCTGAGTTCCCCCTTTCCTCCTGACACCACACCTTGCTACCAGAGAGGGTGGCCCGTACAGACTGTGGCTTGCCCCTGAGGCCAGGGGTGAGACTTTGGGGCTGCAGTTGGCCACAGTGGCAGGCGAGACTGAGGACTTCTGATATCCCCGGAAGGGGGGCGAGAGACTGGTGTAGTGGGACACTGAAGAGGACATTGTGGTCCTGAGAGCGATGTAAGTCCAGAGCGAGAGAGTGCTGAGTGACAAAGGGCGAGACACCAGCCAGTAGGAGGTGCTGTGACGTTGAAGAACGGATTCCTGAGGAGGCCAACAGGAGGCGCTGTGACGCTGACGAACAGATTCCTGAGGCGACCAGCACCAGACAGCCACTTGAAGATCTTTTAAAGAGTGATTAGGAAGATTGAAGTGTTCCCCAACAGGTTTCTGTATGTTCCCTTTACGTAGATCTGATTTATGTCCATTGATTCTTTCCCGTAGGGACTGTCCAGTTTGTCCAATATATATAGCAGTGCGGCTTTGATGGCATAGATCAAATTACTGGATGTGCAGTTAAATGATCTTCTGATTTGGTAGCTTATGTTGTTGGCTCCAGAGATGAATTCGCTTGTATAGATATGTCGGCAGAGTTCAACACAGCTGATTACAGGGCTGGGTTCCTGGATGCTTATGATGTGGTTGTGTAGCATGGTTACCAGAAACAATTCGTTTCAGGTTGGGGGGTTGTGTGTAAATGAGAACCAAAGCCCCTGTCTCATTAACACCCTCTAAGCCCCTTTCTGGTTGGCCCGTGCTCTGCGCAGGCTCCCTCCAGCCTACTTTAACCTCTTCTGGCCAGAGTCCCCACTACTCTACCTCAAAAATGGCCCCTCAGGAGACCAATCTGGCAGCACCTTGATGCGAGGGGGATTCAGACATCTGAGGTGTGGGTCCGGATTAGGGCTGGCTGGAAAGCAAGAATTCAGTTTCCTGAACAGTGCTTCAGGTGTTGATGAAACAAAAAACAGGACTGTGTAGCACTTTAAGGACTAACAAGTTGGTCTTTAAAGCGCTACACAGTCCTGTTTTTTGTTTCATCAACACCTGAAGCACTGTTCAGGAAAGTTGACGTCTGATTTTGTTCTGCAGCGAGATGTAAATGTTTCCAAAGTGTTCAATGAAAACCCACAGAGACTATGACGCTCCCCCATGTCAGCTAATAACCCCGTGATTATGGCCCTCACCTGGGATCCGGGAGACCCAAGCCTGATTCAGAGCAATGTCGTGAGTCTGGCACACCCCAGGTGAATCCCTGTTTCTCCAGTTGGAGCCGTTCCACTTGGCGTAATAAAGAATTAAATATGAATTGGGCTGAAAAGGGAGAGAGGCTGACTGTATAGCCCCACAGTTAGGGCACTCAAAGGGATGTGGGGGACTGGGCTATTCGCTATGTGGGGCTGGGTCTCCCTCTCTCCCCAGAGATTCCAGCAGGACCTGAGAAACTTTCCCGACAAACTGGCATTTTCTGATCAAGGACGGTTTGTTGAGAAAGTCTCGATCAGCCCTACTCCAGACAGATGTTCCCCAGAGCCTGGGGGCAGATGGAGAGCGGGAAAGGAGGGGACTTTGGATCAAGGTCCATCTCACATCCTGCATGCTTTGAAGAGCTCAGACACACATCGGCTCCGGACCCAAAGAAAACCTGAGCGGGGCAGACTGTGAAAGGGCGTCTACGTGGCGCATACTGATCAGAGTCAAAAGCAACGAAGACGTGGATTACTCGACATGGACTATACACGCACAGGCAGGTGGTGAGCCAGCTGGGAGTGCTCAGCTACTTCGAGGACCCATCAGCCACTGCATCCCAGGGTGCACTGAGCAGCTACACAAGCGCCACAAGGTGGCAGGTCAGCGCAAGCCGAACTCTGCCTTCGGATGCCGTTCCCAGGCACGCAGCACTACGCTGCATCCCAGCTCAGGAGCGTGGCTCATCAGCTCAGGGCAGCAGACTTCTTCCTACTGCTTACAGAGCAGGCAAGCAATCTGCCGCTCTGTCCCAGCCTGCCATTCACCTAACAGAGGCATGTGACAGGGTGTGTACCTGACAAGTCCTGCAGAAAGGATGGGACTGTGCAGACCAGGGCTGCTGGCTATAGGGTCCCCGGGCTGGAACGCAGCATAGGGGGAGGGCTGAGTTCCCCATTCCAGCCCCTGGGAAGGTGGCATAAAGCCAAGAGAGTGCACAGACAGGGCCCAGAGCTGGGGATAAAGACCCTTTCTGTGGGTACCAGTTATTTATGGAACTTTGTTCCCCCACAAGGGGAGAACTATATAGTGACCTGGCCAAGGGGTGAGTCACCATGAGGAAGCTCGCAGAGTTGGGGGTGAAGCAGGGAGCAAGGGGTCACAGCCTGAGTAAGTGAAGAAAGGGGCCACCAGATAGGGCAAAAGCAAATTGACAGACCCAGCCCGCTCCTGCGTTGAGTGAAACCTTTCGCAAGGTGCGAAGCAAGCTTCTAATTCAGGGCAGGATTGTGATTTCCCCAGCGCGTCCCCCAAGCCACCCTAAGTGGGGCACAGCATATGGACATGGGAGGCCTCTGTCTGCTTGCAGATGGATAGGCGAGGATGGGGGGAGCCCCAGGAGCGGCCGGTATGGTAGGCAGGAGGAGGCGTTGCCTCCCCAAACCACCCCACTCTGCCCCCAGAACGCCTGCTGTAGGTGTACTGTGGGCGGAGTTTTGCTGCCCCACTGCCTGCCCTTCCAGTGCTCCGGCCCCGGGAGGCTGGAGCCATGCACTCGCCCACCCTCCCCATGCTGGGGGGAGAGCACGGTACGCTTCCCTGCCTCCCCGTGGTGGAGGGCCGGGAGGCAGTTTGGCTCCCGTGGAGGGCAGAGCCTTGGCAGAAGGGACGGAGCTGGGGGCTTGCCTCTCTCAGCCCTCCTTTCACCATAGGGAGCCCTGCCTCTGCTCCCAATATACCAGCCAGAAGGAGCAATGGGGCGTGAGGCACATGCACTCTGATTTCACTAGCACTGCGGTCACACTCCCGTCTCTGTACCCCTTCCTTTTTTTTTCTTTGCTCTATAGCACCTGAGGAAGTGAGTTGTCTCTCATGGATACTTACGCCCTAGGGCCCTTATGAACCTGTTAGTCTTTAAACTGCCACCGGACTCCTTGTTGTTTTTGCTGAAACAGATGAACATGGCTACCGCTCTGAAGGAAGGGAATGACAACTCTCAGTCCCTGTTTGCTCCTTGGGGTGCAGTTACAGGCTGTCCCTCATGATGCGCTCAGAGTACAGTCTGAGTCTAGCCCGAGAAGTCTTTTGCAAAGGCCTTAACATGCAGAGCAAACTTCCTGCTCAGGTAGGCAGCTGCCCCCGCCTGCCCGTGGTAGCGGACAGGTTGGGGGACGAATGCAGCTGCCAACAGCTGTTCACAAAGATCCGTAAAGAATGGCTGAGTAGCTGGTAGCAGGGAAAGCCCAGCGAGCACAGGGCATTGCAGGAGACACCTCCAGGCTGTTACGAGAGGCTGGCCATTGTGGGGCCCAGAAGGGCCTCAGTCTTTTATTAAAGCCTAGTTTTCTTTGTTGTTCATAAAACTCGCCAGGCCAGCTCGGAACTCTGGGGGAGTCTGGCTCTGAACTTGATGGCGTATGTCCAGGGCCCCTCTCTAACATGACACCTGTTCCATTGCTAACAGCAAACACCTGGGCTCAGGTCGTTTTGCCGGGCTGCACAAAGGCCTGCCCAGGTTCCCCCAGACATGCTCCCAGCCCTCCCCCGACACGTCCATCTGCGCGCCTTATGTCACAGCAATTCCAACGGAGATTCGAAAGGCAATTCCTTACCTCTATTAGCACACGTCGCCCCGGATGGATGATTCAAGCAGCATTCAGCTCCCAGCAGGAAAGCGTCAGCAAAAAAAGCCTCTTTCATGTAGGTGGATAACTGCAAATAAAAAGAGAGAATTATTAGCACTTCATAATTTCCTTGGCTCCCTGGCACTTTTCTCCCAAAATCTCCAAGGGCTTTTGCTAAACTAGTCAAACCAGTGGGAATCCACTTTTTCTTCTTAAGAGGAGGAGGAGGGCCTTGTGGTAAAGGCACTGCAGGGATTTGGGAGACTTTAGTTCAGACTCAGTGGGACCTGTGGCAAATCGCTTATTAGTCATAGAATCGTAGAACCATAGAGCTGGAAGAGACCTCAGGAGTCATCAAGCCCACCCCCCTGCCCCAGGCAGGACCAACCCCAACTAAATCAACCCAGCCAGGGCTTTGCAAGCCGGGACTTAAACATCTCTAGGGATGGAGATTCCACCCGCGCCCTAGGGAACCCATCCCAGCGCTTCCCCACCCTCCTAGGGAAATAGTTTTTCCTAATATCCAACCTGGACCTCTTCCATCCCAACTTGAGACCATTGCTCCTTGTTCTGCCATCCGTCACTGCTGAGAACAGCCTCTCTCCATCCTCTTTGGAACCTCCCATCAGGAAGTTGAAGGCTGCTATCAAATCCCCCCCTCACTCTTCTCTTCTGCAGACTAAATAGACCCAGCTCCCTCAGTCGCTCCTTGTAGGTTATTGATGCATCTCATACCCCCCTCCCGTAATTTGGGGATACCTTCCATTGTCTATTCAGACTACAAGCTCTTTATGTCAGGGGCTCTCTCTTACTCTGTGTCCATACAGCACCTATGGGGACCCAATCTTAATTTGGATCTCTAGGTGATTGTAAAACACAAAACTTCTTATGAACCCATCACCCATTCCAGGAGCCTGAGCCTTCTCAAGGTGAGCAAGCAGAGACGTTACATACAAACATAAAACGCCGCTTCTGGAAGGCTGCAACGTAACCCTTCTTTTACTCTGAGACTACAGAATCTTAACACAAAAGAGCCAACCCCAGAGAGAGGCCGAGCAGGTTGCTCCTTAAGGCAGAGAGACAACTCAGTCCACCTTGCTCTAGGCAGGCAGGCTGACTGCGGAAGATCCAGAACACATGCTTCTCTACCGAGCTGCTAGCCTGAAAGCAGGCTCGGTATGTACATTCCTTACGCTTCAAGGGACGGCTTGTAAATTGTAGCACGGCCTTGGCAGAATTCAATTTTCTCTCTTTCTTCATCATTTCAACAGGTAATCAGTTCATTTTTTAGCTTTTTTAATATTGGTATCAATTTACATTTTCACAGCTGTGAGAAATTATGGGGTATATGCATTTTTTCTAGTTTTATCCATTTACATTTTCACGGTCGTGGGGAAATTACGGGGGCGTCGAAACATAGTAATTTAATGACAGTCGAGGCTGCGATTCAAAAAGGTAAAGCTGTTTAAATGGTGCCTCTGCTCCAGCTCCATTAATGCCAACATTACAAACACATTTTATGCACATTAGGGTGGGACGCTAATATGTTCCCCCAGCAGCATTTTTCTTACTTTGCCTAGCTGTGAAATTTGATTGTCATCGATGGAAATATTTGTTCGTCCGTTTGCAGGTGTATGGCGAAATCGGCATTTCCCAGTGCAAATCCTTCTCTGGCCATCAATACACTGCAATTCCTTCCTGCTTTGCACCCTGTGCCCTCAATTACACCCATGTGCACTGCCAATGCTGTGAAAGGAGAAAGCTGATGCAGTGGCATTTCACACCCACTGAATAAAGAGTATTGCTAACTGCAAGCATTCAGAAACCAAGAGACTGGCTCTACAATCATGAATGCTTTTGATTTGTATTCTCATCTTTTAGGATCCACCGGAGATCTTTTTACGAGATTTTCTCTGCAACCACGAACAAACATTTTATTCTGAAGTGAACGCTCAGAGTCTCCCCAAATCCCATGACTCCAGGAGCTGGGATCTTAAGACTTGTGATAAAATCCTAACAGCTGGCAGCAATGTGTAAATAACAGTGTGGCAGGCAATGCAGGAGAGAAGGTCTTTGGCATTTCTAAGGCTCCTGGCTCTAGTGCTGCTGAGACACTAAGACTAAGCAATGTTAGTGGGGTGTGTGTGAGAAAATCTAATGCATGTTCCCTTTCAACTGAGTGCTTGGACAGCAATCCAGGAGAGATTCAAATGCTGCCCAGCTGATTAGCAGAGCGCCCACAGCCAGCAGCATGTGTTTCTAATTATGGTGCACATCTACACATGCCTTGGTGCATGTAACAATATTTATTCTGCACATGAATGGAAAAATTAGAGGGAACATTGGTCTGAAAACAGCTGTGAGTGCAGATGTGCTCTGATTGCCTAAATGATTCAGACCAGCAGATTACTGAGAACAAGCCCCAGGCTCCCCCAGGGATAATCTCAGAAGAGCTAGGGGAGCTGCCACGTCATTACCTGCAAAGAACAGTCATTGCCCTGGGCCTGACAACAGGTTTATTCTGTACCCATAAGAACATAAGAATTAAGCACTGGGTCAGACCAAAGATCCATCTGGCCCAGTATCCTGTCTGCCGACAGTGGCCAGCGCCAGGTGTCCCAGAGAGGGGGGACCGAAGACAATGATCAACCGATTTGTCTCCTGCCATCCCTCTCCAGCCTCTGGCAAACAGAGGCCAGGGACACCAGTTCTATCCCCTGGCTAATAGCCTTTTATGGACCTAACCTCCATGAAATTATCTAGCTTCTCTTTAAACTCTGTTATAGTCCTAGCCTTCACAGCGTCCTCTGGCAAGGAGGTCCACAGGTTGACTACGCGCTGTGTAAAGAAGAACTTTCTTTTATTAGTTTTAACCCTGCTACCCATTAATTTCATTTGGTGTCCTCTAGTTCTTCTATTATGGGAACTAATAAATAACTTTTCTTTATTCACCCTCTCCACACCACTCATGATTTTATAGACCTCTATCATATCCCCCCTCAGTCTCCTCTTTTCTAAACTGAAAAGTCCCAGTTGCTTTAGCCTCTCTTCATATGGGACCCATTCCAAACCCCTCATCATTTTAGTTGCTTTTACCCAGCTTGTCCTGGGTCCTGTAACTGTCCTGTTCTCCCTTCCATTCACACCCATCGCTTTGCTGCAGCGGCTCTGGTCATTTCAGAAGTACAAAGGGGTGTGTTTGTGTCTTGGGCTTTTAAAACCCTTGTCCCATGTTTCCAACGGTTCGGGGAGGAACTGATTCATAACCCAGTGCCAGTCTGCTCCTGCCAGCCCTCCCTTCCTTGCCTTCCCCTCCCCTCTCTCTGTTCCTCACCTCTGGCTCCTGCCTCCCCATCCTGTTCCCTCACTTCTGCCTTGTTCTCTGCTTGTTACATCTCTCTTCTGCTCCATCTGCCAGTCTCTGCTCCCCCCCTCCACCTTTCCTCTCACTGTTCTATGGTATCGCTCTCCCTCCGCTCCTTGCCCCCTGCAGCACATTCTCACTCTCTCTCAGTACCGTTTTCTTCCATCTTCTGTCTTATTTCTCTCTCTGCCTTTCCCCGGCTCTCCGCTCCTCCAGCGCTTCTGTTTCTCAACTCCCCCCTCCCTCCCCCACTCCGGCTTTCCCTCCCCCTGTCTCCCCTGGTCTCTGCTCACAGTTTACTGATCCCAACATGATAAATCTCTTGCCATTTTAATGCTTCCCCCTGCCCCAGGGCCAACCATGTGTTGAATAAAAATCCTTTCCCATGCTTACACCCGAAGTGCAGCTTGGTGGAAGCTAATCCGCTCTGATGACATTAAATTGAAGCTTTGCCTACCCTACCCTAGCAACTCTGCCTCCAGCTGCCTGAACATGGGCGGTGGGTGAAGGTAGGGTTAGGGGAGGCAAGTCCCCAACTCTGCCCCCAGTCCCACCCCTTTCGCCCAGGTCCTGCCCCCTGCATCATGGGAAGGTGGGGCAGTGCACGGTCAGAGCCTCCGCGCCCCATGTTTAGACCGCCCCCAACACAATGAGGTCCTGAGCCCAGGTTGGGTATGACCCCAATGCAAGTAATAAACAGGACTAGTTACAACAGGCCGAGTTTCCGGTGAGTCTGTCTGTGGCTTTGATGGGCCACATGGAGACATGCACGGACCGTCTCTATCCACTTTATTTCTCCTTTATCAGGATCTGCTTTATTTTTCATGTTTCCCAGACTGACAAATGGGTAGAAAACATACTCCTGGCTATTACCTGCTGCCTCTCTCCTCTTGGCAGTAGCTGAAAGCAGAAGCAGCAGGAGTGGCATATAAATTTCTCCTCTCCCTTAATAAATACGTCTATTACCTAGCTGTTTTGCCCAGCTCTCTCCAGCTGGCTGGTACAGTCTCTCTCTCTCTTTTGCTCTCACTAGCTGGACGGCTTTCTGCCTGCCAGGCAGATGTGATAAACTGCTATTTTCATTTCCAGGGGGAATAAACAGCAAGGCCTAATCACAAAGGAGCGCGGACAGCAAAGGTTTCTGGGCCAGCAGTTGGAATCTTGCTGCACGCCCTGGTTGGGTTGGAGCTCAGGGAAGAGAAATGTGTCATGGCCCAGATGGGTCGTTTTGGTCCATGCGCTCTTCGGAGCAAGAGTCGGGTCTGTGGTGGCTACCAGCCTCTGCTCATGATTTCATTCAGGAAGGAAAATGAAATCGGTTCTTTCCTTTAAACTTTATCTGGTGCTATTTCTGCTCCCTCTATGCTCCGCAGAGCAACAGCAGCACCACGGTTTGGGACACCCGCTGGTGAAACGTGATGGGCAATGCACAGGGGATCTCCGGAGCTGCCAGCATACACAGTTACAGGTTGAGCTTCAGAGCAAAAGTTGTGCAGATGGGGGCTGTAATAACTCACATCCTTTGTTGGGTGCAGAGAGAGAAATCATCACTCAGCCACCCAGCCAGGCTGGCAGTGAGAGTGCTGGAGAGAATCACAGAATTTTAAGCACTGGAAGGGACCTTGAAAAGTCATCTAGTCCAGTCCCCTGCACTCACGAGACACATGGTGTCCAACCAATTCTGAAGCAGTAGCCACTACAGTGAACTAGCCACATTATTCAAG